GAGGCAGGAGACTCGCTTGAGCTCAGGAGTTGGAGGTTGCTGTGAGCTGTAATGCCATGGCACTCTACCCAGGGGGACAGCTTGAGGCTCTGTCTCAAAAAAAAAGATCAGGAAGATAAGCTGATAATAAACGTAAAAAGACTAGAAGTACTTAGGAAAGAGGATGTTTGGATCTCATAGCCAAAGTTTTGATGAAGAGGTAAGTAGGTTACTGAAGTGTGGACATTTGCCATAAAAGTCGAGGAAGGGGAATAGTAGTTCCCTTTATCTTTTTAGAGCAGAATGAGAGAGAAATAGGTATGGTAACTCTTCATAGACCTTTCCCAGAGAAATGTTTTCCTGCAGTGCCAAGAGCACAGATAGGAAAGTCACTAGTGACAGAAACCAGTGGGAGGTGATGGTTTAGAGCAATTCTCCACCCACTCTCTCTTCTTACAGTATATGGGTCTTGTAATCTGCTGCAGTGGAGTCTGCCTGTTCTGAATGTATATACTGGTGTTGCCCTGAATGAAAAAGTATTTATCGTAGCTTTTTAAGAAACAACATGCCCTGAGTTAAGCAGACCATGGTGGAATCATAATATAGAAGTTGTATTATGAGAAGAAAACTCATTTCTTTGCCTGCTTGAAGAGGTTTTTACATTGGGCAGCACCTGTGGCTCAAAGGAGTAGGGCACTCTGGCCCCATACGCCAGAGGTGGTGGGTTCAAACCCAGCCCTGGCCAAAAACTGGAGAAAAAAAAAAAAAAGAGGTTTTTACATTCTTATAACCATCAAGTTTACCAGTGTTTGACCCAACAAGCTTTTTCCAACTATAGGATCTAGGAAATAAGGTTTTGTAAATAAACAACTTTAAAACTGATACCTTTAAAAACAAAAAAGAGAAGAAGCAATCTGGCAGTTGTTATTGAGGAAAAAAATAAAAACTAAGGTTTGGAGTCAGACAAGTGTGAATATTCGTTCTTGTTTTAGCAGCATGACTCTGGATTTTACTTAGTCTCTCAGAATCTCAGTTTCCTTATCTGTAAAAAAGAAGAATGTTATCTACTTTGTATGAGAGAGTTATAATGAGAGTTAGAAATAATATCATTAGTAGATACTTAGTAAATGGTAGCAGCTACTAATTAATCATAAAAACAAAAAATAAACTGAAAAGATAATTCTGGGCATAGAAGTAGTAAGTAGTGCCTTGAAGACAGACCTTCTGGAGAGTGGTAGAATTATATTTTGTTACATTTGAATGGCAGTGGTGTAAGGAAGGGTATGTTTTGCAGTGTAGGAATTGGTGTGTCTTGATTTGGGGTGGCCTGCACTGACTGAAAGAGGAAGGAAATAAGGAGGTCTCTTTCTAAACCCATGACTGTTCTAACCCTCCTTTCTGGCTTCCCATGATGTCCTCATTTTCCCTTATTGCTTTCCTGGCAGGTGGCTGTGAAAAACAATATTGATGTCTTCTACTTCAGCTGCCTCATCCCACTCAATGTGCTTTTTGTAGAAGATGGCAAAATGGGTGAGTACAGCCCTCCTGTCCTGCCACCCAGCATACCTTTGCCCTTCCTCTGAATGTCAGAGCATGGCCCCAGAAGTACAAGTTATTTTGATGTTTAAAAAAAAATGGGATAAGGCAAAGGAAAAGAAATCATTTTGTCAAAAAGGCACTTGCACTTGAATGTTTATCACAGCACATTTCATAGTTGCAACAGTATGGCATCAGCCTAAGTGCCTATCCATACATGAGTGGATAAAGAAAATGTGGTGTATATATATATATATGCACCATGGATTATGACTCAGCCATAAAAATGAATGAAATAATGTCATTTTGCAACAACTTAGAAACCATTATGCTAAGGGAAGTATATCAAGAATGGGAAAACAGGCT